GTGTTTTTTGGATCCCATAATCCCTTTTGTCTCTGGACCTACAATTGTACACTACCATTCTTAGATGCTCACAATTTGAAAGCCATAGAGAAAAAATGAATTGTTACTGTCTGCATCTACAGTCATTCTTTGGCCTGGCTGAGGACACCATGCTGGTGGAATGCTTTCTCTGTGTCAAAAGTTTGCTCTGAAGGTGTGGTTGGCCAGGTTGGTTTCAAGCTCCTTGGTTTGAATGACCTTCCTATAATGGGCTGCAGGTGTGAGCTATACCCCCCCCCCCCTTAGCTGCCCTGTGATGATGGCTTTGCTCACCTGGCCTAGAAAGTAGCTTCTGCTTCACTGGTGAAGCATTGTTCATCCTCTGGTTTACTTGCTTCCCTCTAAGCCTTATGCCTGAGGCTTAGGTGCAGCAGCTCTTCTCTTTTGATTTCAACCATGTCCTATTAGATTCCTGCTGAATAGGCCTGTAGAAACCCATGCCTAAGCTGTGGCTGCCATGCAGACCAGCTCCATGAGCTATAGCCTGTTTTCCCTTCTGTTTTCTCTCACACTGTCTCCATCCTCACCTCTGACTTCAGGAACTCAAGTTAGCATGGCTTTTCATTCTGACTCACTCTTGCTTGTCTCCTCCACTTCATCCTGCCTTCAAAACACTGCGCTGTTCTTGGTGCTTTGGATTCTCAGCAAACTCCTCAGAAGTCCTGACTACCTTTTTTTACATTTGTTTACTCATGTGCATGTGTTTGCACAGAGCATATGTGCTGGTCCAAGGACAACTTGAGGGAGTCTGTTCTCTCAGGTGCTCAGGCTTGGTGGCAATAACCTTTACCCAGTAAGCCACTTTGCCCACCCCTCTTCTGACTTCCTGATGCCCACATTCAGGTGTTGGCTGGAAGCTGTTCTAGAGCCTTGGCTGCCCACAGCAGGAAGTTTTAGGGAGGCTCCCTCTATTTCGATTCAAGATTGTTGCAGTCTGTAGCTATCTCTACTCCTGTTGGCAGATTAGAAGATCTGTGGGTTGGTTTTTTTTTTTTTTCCTAATTTGTTTTCCATGAATAAGAAGCCTATAAAGCTGGTCTGCTGACTATCTTATAATCCCTACACTTTGGAGGCTGAAGCAGAAAAAAAAATGCTGTTAGTTCAAGGCCAGCGTGGCCTTGCCTTAAAAATCAAAATAGCATGAGGACCCAAGTGAAGCCCCCAGTCAACATGGGAAAGAGCAGACATGCTATGTGCCTGCACGTAACTCCACTGGGAACCCCAGTGCTGTGGCTTCTGAGGAGCAGGGACAAGAGAAGCACTAAGGCTTCCTGGCTGCTAGCCTCCCTCCCGTCTCAAGGGAATAAGGGAGAGAGTGACAGAGCAGGACACTTGACATTCTCTCTGACCTCCACATTGCTCTGCATGAGTACACACTCCAGCTCACACAAAACAAAGGTTGTCCATTTGGGTAAGATAACACATATAATTGTTTAAAAAGCCAATGCTAGATACAGTGACATAGTGACACAGCATTAATATCCTAGAGACAGAGGCAGCTGGATCTGTGAGTTGGAGGCTGCCTGGTTCTGAAATCAGTTCTAGGCTAGCCATTGCTTTATAGAAAGTCCTTATCTCAAAAAAAAAAAAAAAAAAAAAAAAAAAAAAAATGGTGACAACAAAAACCCAAGCAAACATAAACGACAGAAAAAGCACCTGGAATGTTCTCTGCCTGACCAAGATCAGACACCCAGCTCTGGAAGTTTCCAGACATTAGCCCTTCTGTCTCTAATTGTACCTATTCACACACCAAAAACAAAAAACGGCCAAAAAAAAAAAAAAAAAAGCTCAAGGTAACCCCAGGGGCTTCTGGAGAGAGCTAACATTCCCCACCATGTTCCCTGTGGGCCTCTTCATACCTAGAGAGCTTTTGTTTTGACTGTTTCTTTTTACGTCATGAGGAAGAGTTACAGTTCTTGAGCCTTGTAAAGTAAAACAGCTCACAGCTGGATTAGGAACCCAAGGGATTTTAGGATACATTGTGTATTTTCTACTTTTGTTTGTTTCTTTGAGTCAGGGTCTCATTCACTTTAGGCTGTTGTTGAGGGTGGTCTAGAAATTCTGATCTTCCAATCTCCCCCTCTTTAGTGCTAGGGCTACAGGTATTTGCTTGGGGTCTAAGTGAGTGCCAAGGATGCAACACAGAGCCATGTTAGGCAAGAACTCTACCATCTGAGCTATATCCCCAGCCCAGAAAATTTTTATTTTGGAAGGTGGTAGAGTGAAACACAGCTTGTGTGTGGAGGGCTAGAGAACAACATTTTGGCAATGGCAAACTTCCTGGGAGGTTATGTCACCTAGTAATGTGGCTGACTTACTTTGTGAAAGTATACTCTGGTGTTTCCATTACTATGAAATCACCTAGCAACACATTGTCATTCAGCAATGCCTGAGGGTGACTGCATGTAGAAGGTGATGGAAGGAAGTATAAAAGGAAGATGGAGTTTCAGGAGTGTGGTGAGAGATTCTGGGAAGGCAGTGAATATACAGAGAGGAGGGCACAAGAGAGAATGTCTGCCTATCAGCAGAAACCTTTGGCTCAAAAAGAAAGGTATAACTAAATAGATGGCAGCTACAAAGAAACCCAAGTGGAAGGGACAAAGAGGCCTGTCTGTAAGGAGGTGGCCCATAATGGTATAAATTGGAGCAGTGGGACCCCATTCCCTGGCAGCTGGCTGTGACTTCTGGATTTATCCCTCAGCTGCCTGTTTGAAAGAACACGGCTAGTCTGTGGACCTGTGAAGTTACTGATGCTGTGAAAAAGCTTCCATAGCTGACCAGAGGAGGCTGCTGCTCCTCCCTTTCTGACTCTCACTGTCCACAGTGCTTCCTCCTGGCCAACAGCTCCCTGCTTCTCTTTGTGACTCCCTTTATCTTTCACAACGGTCCAAGAAGCAACTTAGGTGTTCTAGATCTTCTCATCTCCCTCTGTGCTGGTCTGTGCTCTGTCTACAACAGCTCTCTGTTGTTTTGTAGGTGTTTCTTTTCCCACAGGATCTTGTCTAATCTAGTCATCTCCTTAAACTCTCTCTATAGCTGAGGATGTCCCTGAACTTTGGATCCTGGGGTTTGCAGCACGGGGGTTTCAGGCATACAGTACCATGCCCAGTTAGTGAGGGTCTAAGGATGAGGCCCAGGGCCTCATACATGCTAAGCAGACATGCTACCAACTGAGTCATATCCCCAGTATGAGATTAGCCTTGAACTTCTGATTTTCTGCCTCCATTCCTCAAGTGCTGGTTAACAGGTAGATATTCCCACACTTGATCTAAGCCAATCCTAAAACCATGCTGTAGGGCCATGTTTTTAGGCAAGATGGCTAAGTGAGTAAAGGTGCTTGTTGCCAACATGACAACGTGAGTTCAGTCCCCAGGACCAATGTGGTAGAAGGAAAGAACTGACTTCCAAAAGCTGCCCTTTGATTTCACCTTCACACCATGGCCTGTTGAATGCACGAGCACATGCAAAAACCACATAAATAAGTTAGCTGTTTTTAAAAAAATAATCTGGGCAGAAGCTTTGATTCTTACCCACTGGGTCAGGCTCCATGCCCAGGGTGGACTCCCAGACACCACTGCCAAATGAGCTGCACTAAGCCACCAGCCTTGCAGCCCCAGATAGTCCCCAGGTCTTAGTTCCTTTCTTACTAGCGCTTCTGTGTCTGGAGCTTTGCCTTTCCTGCCTTTACATCCTACTCTAGTACTCTAGCCTTCAGAGCCCAGCACCAAGCACCCCCATCCTGTGTGTCCCTTGTCAGGACTCCTCAGAGGTAGGTTCTTTGGTACCTGTTGTTGGACCCTAGGTTGTCAAGACAGTATTAGGTGTGTACTTAGGAAGTCCCTGAAGACCCAAGTAACTGAAACAATGCATAACGCAATAGCTAGGAGCCTCTTGCAACATGTGGCTTGAGACCCAGTGGTTCCCCCTAGTCAGAGCCTGGCCCTCTGAATCTTGGTTGGTTGGTTGGTTGGTTGGTTGGTTGGTTGGTTGGTTGGTAGGTAGGTTGGTAGACAGGGTTTTACTTTTTAGCCTAAGCCAGCTATGTAGACCAGGCTTCTTTCAAACTCATAAAGATTCACCTGCCTCTGCCTGGCATTAAAGGTGTTCACCACCATGCCCAGCTAGTTATTTTTAATTAGGTGTGTGCTTATGTTTGTGCACACACCTGGATGCAGGTGCCTGTGGAGGCTAAAGGTGTTGAAAAACTGGAATTATGAATGGTTGGGAGCTGAAACAAACATGGATCCTCTGCAAGAACAGTAAACACTCATAACTAGTGAACCATCTCTCCATGTTTTTGTTCTTGTTTTGTTTCAAAACAGCATCTCATGAATTTCTTGGTGCTCATCCTCAGGTTGGCCGGCTGCTCTCTACACTAGAGCTCCTCTTTTGAGGCCCACTCTATCCACTTCAAGCCTCTTTGACATGCTACTTTCTCAGGAGGGCCTTGTCCCCATACACCAACCCCCACCCAATTTTAACCCACTTCTCAGGCAAAGCTTTGCTTAATGTCCAAGCTTTCTGCCAGACCATCATTAATTAGCCTTGCTGAAGTGTAGAGTATGGCCAAGATCACCATGAGGTTCCCTCCCTGGAGTTAGGTAGGTGTGCTAGCTCCTTGTCTGGTGTTAGGAGAGGTCTCTTTCTTAGGCATCCACCCAGTGCCCTGCAGCTTCCATTCCTACAACCAGATTGCAAGGAAAGCAAGTGCTGTCTGTCTCTATCACCGTCCCTCACCCCACTTCTGCACACTGCCCTTGATGGGCATGCTGTGCCAGCCTCAGCATGAGCCTCAAAATTAATCCTAGCTGGGTTTGGTGATGTATGCCTTTAACCTCAGCACTCAGAAGGCAGAAGCAGGCAGTCTCTGTGAGTTTAAGGCCATCCTTGTCTACAAAGTGCATTCTGTCTCAACATCCCTGCAAATAAAAATTAATTAATCCTTTTTCTTTCTCTTTCAGTGGTTGATATCACAGCAAGTATCCTTTTCTTGTGCCCATGCTGGGGGTGGAACCCAGCACCTGGGGCATGCTAAACAAATGTTCTGCCACTGAGCCATACCCTCAGGCCCTATACTGTGCTCTTGAGGGAATATTCTGCTTAAATGAAAAGCCCATGGTAAAAGCTGGAAACACCCCCTTTCCCTGCCGTACCATGTGTCCTAGCTGCCTTGGAAGCCAGCCACCACTCTCTTGGCAGTAAGGTCCTCATCCTGCCCCTCACTGCCCCAAGTTGGCCTTCTGCGTACCCTGCAGCATGAGGAGGGGGAGAACTGACTGGGAGCCAGAACTCTTTTTAAAGAAATGATTTTGCATTGTACTTCCTTAACCGGACGTCTCCAGATCCCACAGTTTGAAGATGTTAAATTTGAGGCAGCAAGCCTGTTGTCAGAACTGTATTGTCAAGAGGTGAGGACATGCTGCTGGTTCTGAAAGTGGGGGTCTTTCTGTTTCCTGGGCCTATTGGGAGATTGTGGTTTCCAGCTAGGTAGAAGTTCAGAAGAGGGCATGAGATCCCATGGAATTGGAGTACTGATGTTTGTGAGCTACCATGTGGGTGCTGGAACTGAACCCAGGTCCTCTGTGAGAGCAGCAAGTGCTGTAACCAAAGAACCATCTTCAGCCTCCCCCCAATGTGTGTGTGTATTGTTTTGTTTTGGGGTTTGGGGTTTCTATTGCTGGTTTTGTGGGGGAAGGGGTAGTTCGGGAATGTTGTTTTGAGATAGGGTCCCATTATGTACCCTTAGCTGGCCTAGATCTGGCTATGTAGACCAGGATGGCCTTAAAACAGAGATCCACCTGCCTCTGCCTCCCGAGTGCTGAGCTTAAAGGCATACACCACCAAGCCCAACACCATATATAATTTTTAAGTGGTTTTATAAACTAATCTCACTATGTATCTCCCGTTAGCTGCCCTAGAATTTGCTGTGTAACCTGGTCTGACTTCAAATTCATAGTTCCTATCTCAGCTCCTTCAGTGCTGAGATCCCAGGTGATGTTGCCTACCATAGCTTCTGAAGAAGCTATTCTATGTATAATCTAAATTTTTTGTTTTGGTTTGTTTGTTTGTTTTGTGACAGGTTCTCTCTATATAGACCATGCTGGCCTCAAACTCATAGAGATCTGCCTGCCTCTGCCTCAGAGCTAGGATTAAAAGTGTGCATCACTACACTTGTCTTTTATATTCTAAAAGACTGAAAAACAAAACCAAAAAAATTTTGGAGTAGTGTCACCCTATAGCTCAGGCTACCCTAAACTCATAGGCAACCCTTCCTTGACTCCCAAACATTGACAAGACAGATGTGTGCCACCATGGCTATCAAGCAGTGAGCCATGCACATTCTTCCCAAGCAGGAAGTGTACTGTATAGCCTCCCGCATCTCACCCCAGAAAATGGCTCGGCCTTCTAGCACTGTGGCTGCTGCACCAGGGACCCAGTTTGACTTCTTGAACTTTAAATAATTTCCTTTCAGAACTCTGTGGATGCAGCAAAGCCGCTGCTGCGGAAAGCCATCCAGATCTCACAGCAGACTCCATACTGGCACTGTCGCCTGCTCTTCCAGCTCGCTGTGAGTACAGGAGCAAGCAAGACCTTGGGGCATGAACTCAAGTACCAGTCACACAGGCTCCTGGCTGCCTCCTTTGGGGGCTTCCTGGCTGCCATGGAGGAACTAGTCATTCCACTCTTCTTTCCTACATCCTGTCTGGACCTTTTCTTGAGGGTACCTGGATGAGCCTTGGTTGACATTGCCTGTTCTTGACCTGGCCATCTGTCATGACCCCTCTCTCCTATGATATGGCCCTATCACCCACATAACCATAGATACTGGACTTTAGGGCCTTTTCCTTTGAGGTCCCTCCCTTAGGCTCCCATGCTTATACTGTCTCCTTGCAGCCTCCCATGTGCAGCTGGCAGCTGAGGAAGTAAACTGGGCAGCTACATGAACTGCCTAGCTTTCAGAGCTGATGACATTCTGCAAGGGAGCTGAGCTCTATACCAACAGACTACATGTACCCCTCCAGAGACCAAAATCAGAAGTGTTCTCTCTTTTCAGTTTTCCAAGTTTCTAGTTTTGACGCTTTTTCAGGCCCCTCTGCTCCTAGGGGAACTTTTCTACTAACCCACCTAGTATGCACTGGGTCTGCCCAAGAGCGCAGACTGCTAGTTCTGTACCAGTAAGCTGAAGTGACAGAACAAGAGGCATGATTTGCTCTATACCCTCAACATTCCACACTTATGGCTGCCTTGGTGCTTGAGGTCCAAGCCAGTACTGCGGTGATTGTGCTGATGTAAAAGATGCAGCCACACTTAGGCAATTGCTTTTTCTCCTCTTCAGCAACTGCACACACTGGAGAAGGACCTGGTATCAGCCTGTGACCTCCTGGGCGTGGGAGCTGAGTATGCCCGAGTGGTGGGATCTGAATATACACGGTAGGCTCCGCCAACCCCTTTCCTCCTGCTCTCTAACTTGGAAGGAGCTTGGCTGTCCTATTACTGACCCTAAACATGGCACCTTAGTGTGTGATGATGGCCTCTGGTGTAATGAGCCATGCAGAGTCAATCTCAGCAAATGACCCTTCATGACATGTGAATGGCTGGCTGGGAAAGCAGGGCCCATTTCTCATTGGCACAGCTAGTACTAGCAGTTTCTCTGATATTTTGAGACGGGTTGTCAGTACTGTAGCAAGGATGGCCCCAGCTTTAATCCTGCATCAGCCTCCCAGGTGCTGGGATGACAGGTTCTACTTCCTGTCACTTGCACACACAAATATCTTGAAATAGAAAGCACTGGTAGGATTTGTCCAGCCATAGGCTTTATTGCACTTGTGCCTTCTTGACAACTAAGTGTGATTCAGTGTCCACTCCCCTGGGTGCTGCGCTTGTAGAAAAATAAAGTAAAGTAGGATAGCATTGGTATGAGAGGCCACCCTGATCTGCTGTGGGAGTTTTGTCCTCGGTTTCACCAAGTACATAGACCTCCTTATGAAAGTTGAAGGAATGCGGCCTAAGAGAGGCCAAAGAAACCCTGGTGAAGGAGGAGAGGGGAGGGCATTGACTTGCCTTTATGTCCTTAATCCTGAGAGGGACCTGAGGTGATTCACAGCCAGCTCACAGGTGAGGTAGTGACAGGCCAAGCCAGTCCCTGCTTCATGCGTCCTCTGTGCCAAGTCCACATCTGCTGTGTTGGAGCATTAAGGTGGCTTGAGCGTGCCGTCTTCTACCCTGCCTTGTATGATGCTCACAAGCATGTCTGCATCGTGTAAAACCATCGCTACTGAAGCTAGAGTGTGGTGGCCACACCTGGTAGATGACGGAGGAGCCCAGGTTCAAGGCTGAGAGGGTTGGGGGCGGGTCAGTGGTTAAGAGCACTTCTTTCTCTCCCAGACCTCTGAGCTCAGAATCTCTTTTCAGTACCTCATGAGGAGGTTACAGCCCCTGTAACTCCAGTTCCTCCATGTCTGATACTCTCCTGTGGCCTCCTTGGGCAGCATCTAGGTGCCTGTTGTACACTTGTGCATGTAGGCACTCACATGTAGACATAAAAGTTATTTAGTTATTGAGATAAAGTCTCCCTATTATGTAGGCTGTCCTAGAATTCCATATATAGACCAAAGCTGGCCTTGAACACGGAACCTGTCTCTACCTCTCCAAGTTCTGGGATCAAAGGTGTGTCACTATGCCTGGCACATATATATGCTTTTTTTTTTTTTTTAAGTTCAAAGTTCAGTTGGAAGTATAGTGCAGTGGCCGAGTGCTGTGTGAGACCCTAAATTCAATTCCAGCATGACCACTCTTCTGAAAAAAAATGTTTATGGTCATCCTCAACTGCATAGGAAGTTTGAAGCCAGCCTAGGTTATATGAGAACCAGCCTTATGTGCCTCTCCATGTAAATTTAAATCAGAACAAAATGCAGCACTCTAAAATGTCCTATAAATAAAGCACATCTCCCTGAGGGGCATCCCTATAAACCTGATGTCTTGTCTCTTTTCCAGGGCACTATTCCTGCTCAGCAAGGGGATGGTAAGTCAAGACTGGGTGTGTGTAGCCATGTTGCAGGCACGAGGTCACCTGCAGTGGCTTCTCTTCATAGTGTAGTCTCAAAAGAAAGGGTTCTACCCTGGCAGTTTCCATTTGGGGCTCTGAGGTTTCAGGTGGTATTGTACTATTGAATCCTGCTGTGGAACTACCTGTACCCCAGTTTCTTTGTTGTATTCAGCTTTGTTTGATTTTTTTTTTTTTTTTTTTGAGGTAAGACCTCTCGATGTAACCCTGGCTGTCCTGGAACTCTATGTAGACCAGGCTGACCTCAAACTCACAATGATCTGCCTGCCTTTTCCTCCCAAATTCTGGGGTTAAAGGCAAGCACTGCCACACCTGACCTCATTTCACCCAGCTTTGCCTTCTGTCCTCAGCTATTGGACTGTTGACAGTGATACCCCATCCCTTCCAGCTGCTGTTGATGGAGCGCAAACTGCAAGAAGTGCACCCACTGCTCACACTGTGCGGGCAGATTGTGGAGAACTGGCAGGGCAACCCCATCCAGAAGGAGTCACTACGTGTCTTTTTTCTGGTGCTGCAGGTGACTCACTACCTGGATGCAGGACAGGTATGTGGTCTCTCAGGCCAGAGAAAGGGGTTGCTCATGATATGTTGTTGTGTGTTTGTAAGTGCACAAACATATATACAGGTGTCCTGCTCTAGCACAGTTGTGGCTCCATCACACTGTATGGCATAGCCCCAAGGGAAGAGGATGCTCCAAGCACAGGTTTTGTTCTAATGGCCCTGTCCTCATTTTTGTAAGAATGTGTGGCCTGGCATCCATCGAGTGCACATACGGTTGGAGGCCTCGGAAGGGAAGCTCATGGAAGCCATGCAAACAAAACAGGGAGATATTCAGCAGATTCCCCTTCCCCAGCTCACAGCAGCTTTATGAGGGTCAGTAAGGACCCTGGTGAGGCTGCATGGCTGTGTTGGAGACCTGACACCTGTGTTTATGTGATGGCCTCAGACTAGGATGAATGGGAGCTACCTTGCCTGCCTCGGCCCTTTCCTAGTCTTATAGGCCCACCGGGCACATGCCTTTGTGAGGTACTAGGCCAGTGTTGTGGGAATCCAGGAAATGCTTAGTGAACCTGCTGTTTTTAAGGGCCTTCCTTTTGTTCCCATTGGGCCTCGGTCCTCATACAGCGTGTAAGAACATGGCAGCTGTCAGTTGTCCCTGACTGCAGAACCACAGCTCCCCTGAGTGACTCGGGGTAGAAAACAGGAGGGTTGGCAGAATCCACAGTGCCAAAAGACTGTTTGTTGGGGGGTTAACTACTGGGCCTCTGCCTGCCTCCTTGAAGTCTGGCTTCTGGGAGACCAAGACCTGGGGAGGTGGGTTCCTGTGGAGGAGTGGGAGGCCCTATGTAGGAGCAAGAAGTTGCCAGGCCTCCTGGGGGTGCGGTGCTAAGCATGCATGCCACAGGTAAAGAGCGTCAAGCCATGCCTGAAGCAGCTGCAGCAGTGTATCCAGACCATCTCTACGCTACACGATGATGAGATCCTGCCCAGCAACCCTGCTGACCTCTTCCACTGGCTGCCCAAGGAGCACATGTGCGTGCTCGTCTACCTGGTGAGTCCCACTACCCTGGGCCTGGGCTGGGAGAGGCCACCATGATCACCACCCCTTCTCCTTGCAGGTCACAGTGATGCATTCGATGCAGGCTGGCTACCTGGAAAAGGCACAGAAGTACACAGACAAGGCACTCATGCAGTTAGAGAAGCTTAAGAGTGAGTGCCACCTGAGTGGGGACCCCAGCAGCCCCAAGTTGTCCTTGACTTTCAGACATGGCTATGTTTAGGGAAGCCAAGATCAGAACCTAGCTCTTACCTACCTGTTGTGAATCCTCCAGAGTCTGGGTTCTAGGCACACCCGCTTGACTATTTTATGTGTCCTAAAGTGACCTCTTCAGCTACTTCTGAAGGGAGAAATATGCTGGGGACACCAGAGCCTGTGGAACTGTGCTTCTCTTTTCCTCAAGCTGGTTTGGACAAGAACTTTTTCCCCCATCCAAGGAGATCTGTGCTTGGCCAGGAACTGACTGAGGGTCCCCATGGCTTGGGTCCTGTCCCACTCAGGCATGCACAGTTGAAGACATCTTGGAAGCCCAGCGGGCAGGTTCCTGAGCTCTTAGCAGGGGTGGCAGGAGTCTGCACCAGCTCTGTAGAGATGACCTGTGTGAGGCACGCTGCTCAGCCCAGAGTTTCTTGTGGCTTTTATTGCTTGGAATTCAAACTAAGGCCTAAGCTGCTTGCTGAGCCCTTGCTGTACCTGAGCTCCACCTAGTAGGGACTTCTTAGCCTTGGATCACTTCACAGTGGCCTTGGCTTGAGCTTCTGTACTTATCCAGATGGAGAGAGGTTGCAGCAAGAATGGCGTTAGGCAGGGCCCTGTGGGACCATGCCTGCATACTCACCCCTGCCTTTTGTCCCCAGTGCTGGACTGCAGCCCCATCCTGTCATCCTTCCAAGTGATCCTGCTGGAGCATATCATCATGTGCCGGCTCGTCACAGGACACAAGGCCACTGCACTACAAGAGGTAGCAAGCACAGAGTGCTATGGTGGGCCTGGTCTAGGCAGATATCAAGAGGGAGGGTACAGTGACCTCACTATCACTGCTCTAGCATGGGCTGTTGAATTTACTGTAAAGCCAGTAGTCTGGGTCCCTAAAAGTTGCTTCTCAGGGAACATTGGCAGGTGTTGGGATCCATATCACCAGAGTGCCCACCTTCCTGAGAACATTGGAGAGGCATTTTATAGCCTGTAGCCAAAGTACTCGGTTGAAGCTGAGACTAAGGTCAGCGTGGATAGAGAGAAAGGAGATCAGGGTCACCCTCCTCCCTATGGCAGCTCCTCCTACCAGGACTTTGACCCCAGTTTGGCAAGTGGATTGGAGAATATGTTCCAGCTTTGGGGCTGCACTCCAGTGCCAGGTCCCAGGACAGGCAGTTACCTCAGTTCTCCCCTCAGATCTCCCAGGTTTGCCAGCTGTGCCAGCAATCCCCCCGGCTTTTCTCCAACCATGCTGCCCAGTTGCACACGCTGCTGGTGAGTATGCCCCAGGTGCTGAGCCCTACCCTTGCCAGAATCCAGAAAATACCTAGCAAAGAACATGATGCACCCTGAAAGAATCTGCATGTCCCAGTAAATAGCCCTGTGACACTGCTTAGACATCTCAATGTGACCTCTTATTCTATTGGGGTTGGGAGTGGGGGAATGGAGTCCTTTACAGTGGCTTGAAGCACATCCCAGCAGCTCAGGTACACATTGTGCTTGTCTAGCGCTGCTCTGTCAGCTGCCCTGCTTCTGACCTGAGCCCCAGCACCCTTGGGAGCTACCCCACATGTATCCTTGTCTTTGCAGGGCCTGTACTGTGTCTCCGTGAACTGCATGGACAATGCTGAAGCTCAGTTCACTACAGCCCTGCGGGTAAGGCTGGCTCCGTGAGCAGCAGTTTGGTGTCGGTTGGCTGCCTCACAGAAAGGGTGGAAACCAGCACAGCTTTGCTGCTAGGGCTCCGACTTTGAGCCCACATCCACCACAGTCACACTGACAGTGGCCGTGATAGCGACATATTTGCTGTTAAGGTGGCAGGTGGCTAGGGTGAAGGGTGCCTGGCTACCCCAGGTGGATATGAGGGGAACACAGGTGTATCAGGGTACAGGGACACTGGGTGGCCACTGCTAAATCCCAGGACAGTCTCAGGCTGAGTCAGTGTGTGGAATCATGATGGGTTCTGCAGTTTGTTAGAGTCACGGTGTGTGGATGCACAGTGACTAAGACAGGTCCTTATCCTAAGTCCTGTGATAGGTGCTCAGAACAGAGGACAGGTTTTACTTCAGGGAGGGGCCTCCCCAAAAGGAACCCACATTTGTAGGCTGCTGACCTCCTACAGGCTCCTGCTGGTCCTGAGAGTCTGGTCCATTTCTCCCAGAGTGGCGGAGATGCCTCTATGGACAGCTTACCTTCCGCCCTGCCCACCTGGACCAGGACCAGGGAAGGATGTCTGTACCTTAGCCTCAGTGTCCTTGCAGGAAATGGAGGCTGCTGACCAATTTCTCAGGGAACCCCCAGTAGAGATTTTGTAGAGAAGCATTCTCTTCTGTGAGCAAGGGGTCTGGCACGTCCCTCTGACTATGGGAGGGGCTCCCGTCCCTGGTGGTACATGTCTGTGGGTGCTTTGAGAGGAACCCACTCCTCTGGCTCCACGCCTGTCTCCCTGGACCCCAGGCACCCCTGCTGCTGTGCCAAGAACCCACATTCTTATTGTTATCTTACTTTCTACGTGTGGCTTTGGCTCAGCAGTACAATGCTAAAGTCACGTGCTGAGGAAAGTCCTACTAGAGAATACCTTGGAGGGGAGGAGCTGGGACAGATAGGAACCTTGGCCTCGAGCTCAGACTCTTCCTCCTGTTGCCTATAGCCAACAGCCTAGTGCTGCTGCAGCTCAAGTCATGTCAGGGAAGGGAACTCTGGGCTTTTGTGTGCCAAGCCCAACAGCAGGCCCTGTGTTTCCACTGTACATGCCCAATGCAGCGAATTGGACTCAGAGGGCCCAGGCTACTTAGAATGTTATATCCTTTCTTCCTTCTTCTCCCTATCCCATACTGGAGATTGAACCTAGAATTTGACAAAACATGCCAGGCAAGTACTGTATTGCTGAGCTGTAACCTCCTGTTCATGGTTTTTTGTTTTTTTTTTTTTTTAAGATGGGATATCTCAGTTGCACAGGCAGGCCTTAAATTCTGATCTGGCCCTACCAAACATGGTAGACACACCTTTAATTCCAGCACTCTGGCAGGCAGAGGCATATAGATCTCTGTAAGTTTGAGACTTACTTTATATATGGAGTTCAGAGACAAAGCCTGTCTCGAAAGAAAAAAAAAATTATTATTATTTTCTTTTTTTTTTTCTGATCTTGCCTCAGCTTCCTTCCCAAGTACTGGGATGACCAGTGTCTACCACCATGACTGACAGTTTTCACTCCTTCTCTTGACCATCCAACTTGCCATAATTATTGATTGGTTCAGTGGCAGAGAGCATTCCCAACATACTTCAGGACATGAGTGTACATCTGTTGGACTATAAAGCAGAAACAAACCAGGGTGATGGCAGGCTTGTCAGCCCAGCCATTAGGACTCTGGGGCAGGATAGAGAATTACAAGCCGGTCTGGACTATGGAGAGACTATGTCTTGCCATTATCCACTGTTGGTCATTGGCAGAATCAGGATAGCTAGCTCTCCTGTTCATTTTCTAAGTGTCCCCTGACACTGCGGGTGGAAGAGGATCTAACTCTACTTTGGAGTGAGCTGGTTGAGTCTGAAAGGAGCTGTTGAGCAGCTCTAGTGCAGTCAAGCCCCAGCAGGGTGTGGTAATGGCCTCGCTAACCTCCTAAGTGCCCTGTCTTGCATTCCAGCTTACCAACCACCAGGAGCTGTGGGCCTTCATCGTGACCAACCTTGCAAGTGTGTATATACGGGAAGGAAATAGGCACCAAGAGGTAGTAGGTGACATGCTTCATGTTCGGTATCCTTTCTCCATCTCTTCCATAGGGCTTTGGGTGTCCTAGGCACCCACAGACCTCAGAAAAGTCCAGATGTTTAGCTCTCTATGAGAGTGCAACATTCGATGGCTCAGGACTGGGGCTGGGATAGCACTTGTGCAGCCAGGTGGCCTCTGTCCCATCCTAAGCCACTCAAGCTTTATTGAACCCTGTGGGTTTTTTGTTTGTTTGTTTGTTTGTTTGTTTGTTTATGTCATTGGGTGGTGGTGGTACATGTCTTTAATTTCAGCACTCAGGAGACAGAGGCAGGTGGATCTCTGGGTTCAAGGTCAGCCTGATTCACAGAATAAGTTTCAGGATGGTGAAGGCTACACAGAGAAATCCTGTCTCAAAAAAACAAAATTAGTGGTGCTGTCATCTAACCCCAGGGCCTCTTGCATGCCTTCAAGCATTCTACCACAGAGCCACACCCCAGCCCTAATCAAGGGGAAGAAAGTCTTACATGGGTGGGCGAGTGGGCCATCCTCACAGGGCTGTCCTCACAAGCCAGGTGCCCTTATGTGGGTTTGCCAGAGCCACAAAAGTTAGGTTCTTCTCCAACTCTAGGATGCCCTACCCTGGAGTCCCTCCAGAGTAGCCCAGATTCTCTGCATGTCTACAGCCTTCATTCTAGCCCTGGCCACTATCATCTCTTATCTACAAAAGCCATAGCCAACCTTCCAGATCTGTGCTCGAAGAAACAGAGAGCCCACCCTGGCTATCAGGAAGCTAATGCTGGTCTCTTGGGTCACAAGAATGCTGTTTGTTCCATTGTCACCACTCTGCCCTGTCTCCTACATGGTTCCCTCAGATGGACACCCCCCCATCTTAAGGCTGTTAAGGGCAGGCATGCTGCATGTTGTGATATTCTTCCCATGGAGTGGAGGAAGCCTCATCCCCTATAGCATGTTCAGGGCCTAGCCTCCTCCAGGTGGCTAGGTTGGGTCCTAACTGATGTTTCTTCACCAGCTGTACAGTTTACTTGAGAGGATAAACCCAGACCACAGCTTCCCGGTGAGGTGAGTTGCCTGTGCCTATCAAGACATCCCACACTCCCATTGCTCTTGGGGTGGCGTATGTTCCTGCGGGCCCCAGACTTCACATGTACTCAGCACTGCTTGTACCCCACCGGTCAGACAGTCTGTAGGGGCTCCCTTTGGGAAACTTTTTCTCCCATAGCCAACTGTGACTCTGCTTTTCTGCAGCTCACACTGCCTCCGAGCAGCAGCCTTCTATGTGAGAGGCCTCTTCTCCTTCTTCCAGGGCCGCTACAACGAAGCCAAGTAAGTTTGGGTCAGGGCACCATGTATGATTGGCCTCTTCTCCCTCAGGCCACCTCTGCTTCTCTGTGACTGATATACCTGCAGGGTGCCAGCATCTGTCCCCTTGTGCAGGCGATTTCTTCGAGAAACTCTAAAGATGTCGAATGCAGAGGACCTGAACCGCCTCACAGCCTGCTCTCTTGTGCTGCTGGGCCACATCTTCTATGTGCTGGGAAATCATAGGGTGAGTCCCTGCCTGGCTATAGTGCACAGGGTAGAGACGTGAGGAGCATCACTAAGGAACATGGCACTTCCTGATCTGGAGTCCAGGGTGTGGAAGGCGTGGGGCCTGGGATCAGGGCAGCCCAGACAACAGGTTCCCTTCCAGGGTCTATATGTCATGCTCACAGTCCTCAGACCTGAAAGACAGCTGCTTTCTGCCATGCTCCTGTAGGCTTCTCAACACACCATCCCTCTAGAATCTGTGGGCCCCTGGGACTGCCTCAGCACCTAGGTGGGACCAACAAAGTCAAAGCCTGCCTGTGTCTGTGGCACCATCAACCACATGACTTCGTAAGACTTGACTTTTTTACTTCAAGTTATTGTAAAATGTAGTGGGTAGCCAGCGAGGGTCGCTTCGCTGTGGAGAGCGTAGAGTGGCCTTCATGTTCCCAGTGCTTTGGCAGCTGCCTAGGCATTGGGCAGGACTGTGGTACCCTGTGGGATTCCAGTGTGGTGTGGAGCACTTGGAATAGGGAAGGTGAGCCAGAAATCTACTTGTCTGGCAGGGTTTCCTACTTCATGAGTTGCTATAAAACACCCCTTCTGCCTGTGTGAGCCCGACTCTGCCTGACTCGGGGAGACAGCTGGGCTGGTGACGACAGGGCAAAGTGAGCCAGAGCCACATGGTCAGCAGAGGGCTGCCTCAGGTGAGGGTCAGAACTGTCCTAGGCATCTGTAAAGCCAGCCCATATTTCAGCCCCTCCTCAGGTCTGGAGGAGGGGAGCAGCTCTTCCTGCCCTATGAGGTCTGAGAGGGACTCTACTCAGTTTGGTTGCGGCAGTTAGAGGTGGACGTCTGACTGTAACCCAGCCGAGCTGGGTTTGGTTAGGTTGTCTTCCCCCTAAGCTGTGCCTAGGACTGGAACCTGGTTTGAGGCTTTTAAATTTTTTGTTTTGTTTTGTTTTGTTTTTTGAGACAGGGTTTCTCTATGTAGTCCCGGCTAGAACTCACTCTGTAGACCAGGCTGGCTTCCAACTCAAGAGATCCACCTGCCTCTGCCTCCCAAGTGCTGGGATCAGAGGTGTACACCACCATCACACAGCTGTCTTAATTCATTTTTCAGTTTAGTTATTTCATGTGTATGCATGTGTACTGTGTGTGTGCCTGGTGTCCACAGGGCTCAAAAGAACCCCTGGTATTAGAATTAGGCAGCTATGAGCTGCCATGTCGGTAATAAAGACTGAACTTGAGCACTTGCCAAGAGCAGCCAGTGCTCTCAACCTCTGAGCCATCTCTCTCTGGTCCTAGATGGAGATTTTGGTGTCCCACTCCTGGGAGCTGCCCCCAAACTGAGGCCTACAATCTGGGGAGGTAGAACAGTGCACCAGGGCATGGTTTGGACTTCAGAGCTACCTCCTGTACCTCACTGTGGGATCAGGAACAGGAAACTGCTCCCCAAGACTTCCTAGCCTCATCATGAGAACACTTTGCTTCTAAGTCAGCCGCCTGGCACATACAGAATCTGACTAGAGGGAGTTACAGGTCCAGAGACGCCACATCCCTGCAGTAGCCTACAAAAGCAAACTCAAAGGAGCAAATCATCCCCCAGTCCATCGGCTTCTCCTCCCTTGGCACAGGAGCCTGTGGACACCCGCATGAATGTACAGTTGTAATGATTTCTCACTGTCTTGTGCAGGGGGGCCAAGAATGCTCAGTTGTTTGTTTGTTTGTTTGTTTGTTTTCCCAAAGTGGACAAAAGTACTTCGGAGGACCATTTTAGTTAAGCTCTGATGTTGGAATAGGAATTGTTGTGTGTTTTTTTTTTTTTTTAATAAATATTTATTATTTATACAGTATTCTGCCTGCATGCGTGCCTGCAAGCCAGAAGAAGGCACCGGATCTCATTATAGATGCTCATGAGCTACCATGTGGTTGCTGGGAATAGGACATTTAAAAGTATGGCTAGTACTCCTCACCTCTGAGCCATCTTTCCAGCCCCTGGAATAGAAGTTTGTCCAGCAGCAACAGAATATAAAATGGCCAGTTTTCAGTTCATAAATTAAAGTTAAAAAAAAAAAAAAATGAAGTCAAAGACACTCTTCCACAGCCACCTGTTCATTCTTAGCTTTTGATTGGCAGGAGAGTAACAACATGGTGGTACCTGCCATGCAACTGGCCAGCAAGATCCCAGACATGTCTGTGCAGCTGTGGTCATCTGCCCTCCTGAGAGGTGAGAATAAACAAGGCTGCAGTGCATCCTCGTTGGGTCCTGACATTGTATGAACAGCAGTGCATCTCCAGGGGATTTTTTTGTTTGTTTAACAGGGTCTTGATATGTAACCCTGGCTGGCCTAGAATTCTAGGTAGACAAGGCTGGCCTTGAAGTCGCAGAGATTTACATTTCTTGATCTGCCAAGCCACCATGCCTAGCTTTAAAGAATTATGGCTGGCGGGGCTCAGGTTCCTACTCACAGAGTCTTGTGGATGATCTTCCTGGGCCTCAGGATGGGTTTGGATCCCTTATGGCAACTCCTGTCTCCCCTGGGTGGCCAAACCCATACCACCTAGGGGATGAGCTAGACGGTGACATCTGCCCCATTCTCAGACCTAAACAAGGCATGCGGGAACGCCATGGATGCCCACGAAGCTGCACAAATGCATCAGAACTTCTCACAGCAGCTGCTGCAGGACCACATTGAGGCTTGCAGCCTCCCAGAGCACAACCTCATTACGGTATACAGGGTGGGGAAGCAGACATGGGGATGAGGGGCTTCAGCTCCTCAGGTGTGGAGGGGCTCATCCATGTGTGTTTCCCTCGCAGTGGACAGATGGCCCACCCCCTGTGCAGTTCCAAGCTCAAAATGGACCCAACACCAGCTTGGCCAGCCTTCTGTGAGGACCCTATGGCCTGTATCCCCACCTTGGACCCAACACTGGAGCTCTCTGGGAACAAAACAACCAGGGTGCCCACCAGCCCCTCACCATTGTACAGAGCTGAGTTCCAGGAGTACTGGTGCCATCATATGCCTCTGAGGGTGACAGCCACCCCGCCCGTGCCATCTCCTGGAGGGAACTGTTGGCCTAATCTGTGTCTGGGTGTCACCTGTGAAGAACAGGGTGACAGTGTGTGCGGGGGCATCATCTTACTGCTCAACCAAACCCAAGTGCAACTGCACAAAGTAGCCTCCAACCCAGGGCAAGCCGAGGGGAGAACGATGCCCCTCACTTTCCTCAGCTGCTGTTCTTCCAGTGTCCCTGCGCTCAGGGACTTCTGAGGACCTGGAAGTCAGCCTCTCAGCCTGAGTGTGCCTGGAAGGTGACCCTGGTGCAAGGGAGGAGGTTGGAAGGAGGTATGCATGTGCAGTTGATGAGGCTGAGATGTGTCTCTCCACCTCAAGAAGCTCCTTGCTCATATTCAGCATTGCCTCTTGGCCCTGCCTAGGCAGTAGGCAGAAGTCCCATTGGACCTGAATGAAGGGGCTTCCTTCCTGGCAGCTATGTGGCCTTCCCATAGAGGACAGTTATGGGACCAGCTCAGCTCCTGTTCTTGGCTTGAGGGCTCCCCTGAGGGTGACAGTTGATGGCAGGAGACTGTGATTCCTGCCAGCTTGTGGTATCTAGGCAGGTGCTCCCTTTGGTGATGAAAAGTGGCACCGTGAAGTCTACTTCTCAGCTTCAGAATCCATGACTGAAGGGACAAGGCTCCAAGGCTTTCATGGACATTCTCACTGAGCCATGTGGCAGCTACTGCCCACGGCCAGGTGCTCCCAGCCCTCTGTCTTCCTCCAGCCCTTTGGGTCCCAGGGACCTACCCTCAATATCTGCCGATCTCACAGCCCTGCCTATTTATTTAAGCTTTTTTTTTTTTTTTTTTTTTTTTTGGCTTCTAGGGCATTTTGTACATAGAGCAGTTCAAACAAGAACCTCTCGACTTGACATCTCTCCTGATGTTAGAGTGCTTTTACTGTCCACATCTCAGGCATGTGAAAGCTAAGGGTGGGGTCATGTCGAACTCCATGATCAGTGTTGAGGGTTCCACTCAAGTGAAATGACAATGATCCCAGAGCAGTCACAACAATGTCTAATAGCTAAAGATTGAGAGAAAAGCCTCAAGGGGGCCAGCACAAGAGGGTGTTATAGCCCAGGAGTACCAAAAGCCAGCCACAAGGCAGGCTAGGATGTAGCCCTGTATGTAGCTGTGAACTCCTGAGCCACACCTGGCACTTTTGAGTGAAGGAAGGCATGTTGTGAGTGTGTTGAAAAGGATTTTAAAAACGTAGTATGATTGTATGGTTTTAGGAGCCTGTACTTTTAATCAGGAACTTAACTGTAAGCTGAGAGCTTCATTAAGACTGTTTGCTCGTCTCTTCCTGTAGGGCCAGTACTTCCCAAGTGCTGGGATCACAGGCAAATCCTACCATGCCTGGCTCTTGGAGTTTGGCTTTGGAGTTTTGATTGGAAGGGAGCAGTGTTTCGATCTTCTTTTTTTTTTTTTTTTTTTTTTGAGACAGTATCTCTTGTTCATGGATGACTTTGAATTCTAATTCTGTGCCCACCAGCCTAGTACTGGGATAAAAGGCATGTGCCACTGCACAGGTTTTACCTGGTGCTACTAGGCTGACATTTGGTCAGCTGAGCCATAGTTTTGTCCTGTGATCCCCTGTCTTAATACAACATTTGGTTTGAACCCTCTGTGAATGGCATACTGCCCTTCAGTTCCAGCACACAGCCCCTAGACAGTCTTGCTCCTGTGCCCAGGTAACCCTCTAGTCTCCAAGTTCCTGCTGGGTGTGGTGGTGCACACCTCTACTCCCAGCACTTTTTAGGCAAAGGCAGGTAGATGTCTTGAGTTTGAGACCAGCCTGGTCTACAGAGTGAGTCCAGAACAGCCAGGGCTCTGTTACACAGAGAAACCGTATCAAAAAACAACAAAAAGGCAGAGAGCAGCTGGATATGGTGACTCACACCTGTCAGCCCAGCTTTTGGGAGGCTGAAGTGGGAGAAACACTCCAAGTTCCATGCCAGCCAAGGGCTATTTGCTGAAATATTAATAAGCCAATAAAAGAATGCCTGCACCAACCCCTGTGTCCCAGAGTGTAAAAAAGCTTTTTGCTTTTCCATGGGATTGGTTGGTTTTGTTTGTTTGTTGAATCTTGACTGTGAGTTGAAATCCATATAAATTTAGATAGGTTTTACTGATAGGTTGTTTTTGTTTATTTGTTTTCTTTTTGGTTTGGTTTGGTTGACAATTTAACTGTGTAGCCAGGGCTAGCCTTGAATTTGTAGCTGTTGTTCCCCCAAATCATCCAAGATTAAGGTGTGAGCCACCACTTTATGTTTAGACTGTTTTGTTTTTTGTGGCTTGGTTTCAGGATCGCCACACTTGAACCTAGGAAATTTTTATGCTTCAACTCCCAAGTTTCTGGGACCATAGGTGGCACCCCACTATGCCACCTCTCCAGACACAGCAAGCACACCTACACTGAGCTGCACTACAGCTGCTCCCTTATGCTCACTGTTGAGACCTATCAAGACTCCGGTGCTCAGAGAGGGAAGAACCTCTGCTGCCTCTGTGTACGTTGTTGTATCCCCAAGCACTGTCCTTCCTGAGAGGATTCAGATTCCAGCTCTGTGTCCCATTCTCCACACCTGGGCACATCTGCCTTCCCAACTCAGCCTAAGCTTTATTTCAGGTAGATTCTGCTCATCCTTTGGCAATTTGAAGTTTATGTTCCCAGAACAGGCCAAGGGCCTAGGTCCTACCTCACCAACCAGCCTCTGGAGGGATATGCTTCAGCATGTGCCTGTGGCAGGTCCACAAAGGAAGAGCTGCCCTGTGACAGCAGCTGTCCCCCCTGTGTGGTTTGAGTCTGTCACCAACCTGACCTAAGATGGCTGAGAAGTTACCCCAGAGGTTGAGCATAGGGTTAGCATCTCATGAGGGTGGCCTTCCCATTCCCAACAGCAAAAATACCCTCTAGCTAGGCAAAGTGGCATATACCTGTGATCCCAGCACTTACAGAGATAAGAGGGGTTCAAGATCTTCCTCAGGCCAGCCTGGGCTACACAAGATCATGTCTTTAAAATAAAATAGGAACTGGAGAAATGGTTCCGCAGTTAAGAGGACCTAAGATCAACTCCCAGCACACTTGTCGGCAGCTAACAACCACCTGTAACTTCAGCTCCACAAGATCTGACACCCTCATCTTGCCTATACACGTACTCAAATACTGATCGCATTTACATATAATTAAAGCTAAGTCTAAAAAAATAAAAGCCCCTAGATCCAAGTCAGGTCACCTGTTCCATCCCCAGAACCATATAAAAGTAAGGTACGAACTGGCAAGATGGTTCAGAGGGTAAAGCTGTCAAACCAGAGCACAGTGGAAGGGGAGAATCACCTAAAGAGTTGTCATCTGACCTCCACTATCATGTTATAGCACGCAGACCCACAGTCAAATACACACATTTAAAGAAAAAAGCCAGGTATAGTAGTTCAAGCTCGTAGTCTTAGCATTCAGGACATGGAGACAGTTGGGTCCCTGGATCTTATAGCTGGCCTGAGCAAAGTCTATGGTTCCCCTCTGGCCTTGACATGCTTCTATACACACAAACATGCACCAGAAAAACCCTAAAAGTCAACCAGTTCTACAGAGTGCAGAAGCTAGATGTTGTAAAAACAGTTTTGACATCAGATGTATATAAAAAGAGGTCATAACCACCCTATGATATGGCTGAGGGGAAGGTTTTTATTGTAGATGTGAGTGAGGAAGAGTAAAGCCAGAGGCACCTGGAATTATCCACAGTAGGGAGAGAAAGTAGTGGATGAAACATGGTCAGCAGACTGGATCTGACTGTGAGAGGAAGAGGAGATGATCAAAATGGAGGGGATGAGCACAAATACCCAAGTAGCAGGTGTATAAGGGAATGAGAAGCTGGGAGAGGGAACAGTCACAGCTAAGTGAAACTAAGGAGGCCTAGAGGACAGCATGTGTTTTCATACACTAATAGGACATAAAGCTATTTGTCCTCAGTTTCTTTTTGGGCCTGACTGGCATAGTGGCATTTGCCTTTAATCCCAGCACTTAAAAGGCAGAGGAAGGCAGAGCTCTGTGATTTCAAAGCTAGCTTGGTCTACACAGTGAGTTCCAGAACAGCCAGAACTGTACAGTGAAGCCCTGTCTCCTAGACTGTAAAGGATCCGTTGCTCTGCATGTCACTCAAGGCTGGGTCTCCACTCTGGTGGCAGTTCAGTACAACATGCTTCAGAGTCACTATATAGCCCTCATTGTCTTAAAGGGTTAAGCACAAACTGCTCCAAACTATTGCTGTGACCCGGAAGTGCTTTTCTCACTGTCTGCATGTTTACCCATGGGGGATGGGACATGCTCTATATTGGCCACCAGAGGTCAGAACAAACCCAGAAGCCAAAGACAGCTCAGTTTGTTTCCACTAAGTAGGGACACTGAAGGCCTCAGCCTGGATTGAAAGTAGCCAGACTGAAGGCTGGCTGAGGGCTACACAGGCAGGGAAAGCAATGTGTTTAAAAGCATTAAGTGATCTTCCAGAAAACCTGGGTTCCATTCCCCCACCCGTGTCATAGCTCTCAGATCCATTTTAACTCTAGTCCCAAGGGATCAAATGTTCTGGTTTCTGTAGGTATACACATGGTGCACAGACATACATGTTGACAAAATATATATAATATGTATGTATTATATGTATGTATATAATATATAAATATATGTGTTTGCATATATATATACATATATATATACATATATATATATATATATATATATATATATATATATATATATATATATATATATATATATATATATATATATATATATATATAAACTGTTTTCAAAACACAGTATTTCTGTATAGCCTTGCTATCCTGGAACTTGCTCTGTAGACCAGGCTGGACTTGAACTCAAAACCACCTGCTTCTGCCTCCCCAGTGGTGGGATTAAAGGTGTGCAACACCAATTTTTTTTTTTTTTTTTTTGAGACAGGGTTTCTCTGTGTAGCTTTGGCTGTCTGGACTCACTCTGTAAAGCAGGCTGCTCTTGAACTCACAGAGCTTCCTGCCTACCTCTGCCTCCCTGAGTGCTGGGATTACAGGTGTGTACCACCACACCCAGCTTGCTTGGGAACATGAGAGGGGAAAGGAACTGTCACTCTGGAATCTGACTGAAGCCTCTAGCCAGTAGGCGAGAATTCCAGCCCAGTTACTGAGTTCTTGGGCCTTTTCTTCCTCCCCAGCTGTAACTTGGAGTCTCCTCAGAATCTCTTTTACGGGAAAAAGGCATGTGTGTCTACTGACCCCCTGAGCAGTGCTGGTGGCCCTGGTTTCATTTTATCATATTACACTCTTGTGTAAGGTTTCCACAGAGCCAACTCACCTCCTTCAGAGGAACAAGGAGAAACCTGCAAGAGCTCAGTGGGTCAAAGTGCTTACAACTAACCTGAGTTCAACCCCCAGGACCCACATGGTGGGGGAAGGAAACTGATTCCTGCAACTTGTCATCTGACCTCTGCGCCCTGTGTGGCTTGGTACCCACTCACGTGCAGATAAATTAACAATGCATTGTAGAGGGGTTTAGGTGGAGCCTCACCATTTATCCCTGACTGGCCTGGAACTCACAGGGTCCCCCTGCCTCTGCTTCCTGAGTACTGGGGTGTGTGACACCACCTCCAGCCTTAAAGATTTATTTTTATTCTTATTCATATTCATGTGTCTTCTTAGTCATGTGGTCTGTTGTGTGTGAGTGCAGTGCCCCAGAAAACCAGAAGAGGGCATTAAATTCATTGGAACTGGAATTTTGGGCAGTTGTACAAAATCATGTTCTGTGGAAAAGAAATATGTGCTCTTAACTGCTGAGTAGTTTCTACAGCCCAGTACATGGGATTTATTTTTATTTTTATTTTTTTTTTTAGTTTCTGTATTTAATTTTATTTTATGTGCATTGGTGTGAAGGTGTCAGGCCACCTGAAACTGGAGTTACAGACAGTTGTGAGCTGCCATGTGGGTGCTTGGAATTGAACACAGGTCCTTGGAAAGAGCAGACAGTGCTCTTAACCACTGAGTCATCTCTCCAGCCCCATGTGATTTTTTTAAAAAGAGAGAAAATGAGTCGGGTGTGGGGGTGCTCTTGGGAGGCAAAGGCAGGCAGATCCCTGTGAGTTTAAGGCCAACCTAGTCTACAAAGTGAGTTTCAGGGCAACCAGGGCTACACAGAGAAACTCTGTCTTTAAAAACAAAAAACAGTGGTCTGGAGAGGTGGCTCAGCGGTTGGGAGCACTGGCTGCGCTTCCAGAGGACCCTGATTCTATTCCTAGCACCCACATGGCAGCTCCTAACTGTAAGCAACTCCTGTTCCAGGGATTCAATACTTTCACACAGATATGCAGGCAAAACACATAAAATAAAAAATATTAAAAAAAATAAAAGAAACAGTAAAAAGAGAAAAGGGAAAAAAGATTTCTTAGCAACCTTTAGAGATGTAATCTGAGAGCTGCCAAATGGTAAATATGTTCCACCTTCTCTGGCCGCAGAAGTCACTGCACACACATTCACAGACCCACACAGAGATGCACACATACATGGTGAATTAATAATACGTTAAAAGATATGTATTTAATTTTTGTTTTTTATTTATTGTCATGTGGTCTATGTAACCCTAGCTGGCCTAACAGTTGCTCTGTAGACCAGTCTAACCTTAAATTCATATACATTCCACTGCCTCTTACCTCTTGATTAATTGTGGGATTAATTGTCTATGTCAATGTACCCAGCTCAAAAATACAGATTTTAATAAAAGTCTCCAATTGTGATTCATAAACCGGCTAGACACAGAATTATTTTCAGTGTCAAAGTCACAAACACTAGCCTGAGTCAAGGTCCCTGAAAGTCTACGGGAACTCTGTTGAAGCTGATGAGGGTAGCAGCATGTCTGTGTCACCTTGTCATAGACACGTCCAGGCTCAGACCTCAACCATAGGGCTTCAAGATGACTGCTCCCCCAAGTCTTTCAGTTCCCGGTGGCTTGCCAAATCATCTAAGAAGAGGT